GGGAATTCTTGAGGATTTCCAAGTGGAACCTCATCACTTCTCCATATTTATATACTCATATAAAAGAAAGTCATATTGAACTGATTGGCGTTTTAAATAATTCATGATCAGTAGGATTTAACAGCTCTATACAAAAATTTGAAATGATTTGAAATCTTGTTTGGATAATGTTTTTTATTCTAAAATATATAACTCAATATACAATTTTGTTTAAATTAATTTTTTGGTTCGTACAGTTTTATCACATTTTTTTAATTATGTCTATGTAGTTAAAAACACTCTAAAAACATCCTTATAGATAAAAAAAATTGTAATTAATAAACCGTTCATTTACTGGTGCAATTAAAATTTTGTTAATTTATGTTGATAAGATATTGTGACATGACAATTACCTTTTAATATGATAATTAATTATTTTTTTATTTTTTTTATTTTTATGTATTTTTAATATTTATAATTAAATCATTAATTTTAATATGCTAATTACACAAAAACCTAGTATTCATTTCACATTTACATTTAGATCATATTTTAGTTTTTAAACTCTTTTATATTCTTCCAATTTACATCTATTCACGATCTCATGCTCCGAGGTTCGATTCTCGTCTATGTTAAAATAATGTTTGGTCAACAAAAATCATATTTCGCAAGTGTAGATTAATCCTTTATTATTAGTTTTGAGACACTGCATGGATTATGTCCATGATAAAAAAAAATTACATTTATTGATAAAAACTAAGAAAAAAATGAAAAACATAACTTTTTATCTGTATAATCTTAAAATTTTAATTTAATATTTCAGTTTTTGTACAATAGACAAAAAAATGTCATTTTAAGCAATTAAAATTTTAATAAATAAATATTTTTAAGTAGATTAATTATCTATAAATAAATATTAAAAAATAATCTCATTTTTATAACTATCCTAATATATATATAGAGATAGATAGATAGAGAAAGGTATATGTTCTTACTGGGAATTTGTCGTAGAGATGATCCTCCAAGTAAGATTGGTGAGCCTTCTTCACTGGTACGTTGGTGCTCCAAGATGGGGGTGGTACCTGCAAAAGAGACTCTGATGCCAAAGTTAGGGTTTGTATGAGTATGAGTCTCGTATAAGTAATGCGCGTACCTTAGTGTGAATTAGGGTTGCCTTGGGCCTTGGGCCTGAGATCAGTTATGATATGATAGATAAGGGATCTCGTCTAAGCCGAGGTCTCTCAGCGCGTGTCTGAGGTCATTTTGCGTTGTAGTGCCGAGTTCGAGCTCGGCGAGGCGGTACGGATAGTACACTAACCCCCCGAGCTCCGAAGACCGTGGGTCGAGGAGGTTAAGACCGAGCTCGTCAGGGAGTAGTGACCTTTCACGTACGCCTGCTTGTTGAGATGCCATGTGTCATGACTAGTCATTTCCTGAAAACGTGCAAGTGGAGCGTTAATGGGAGTGACGGTTATGTAATGATGGTTTGCATTTGTCATAATGGTTTTCAGTTAATGTGGCGTCAGACTTGCCCCTTGGCCGACACGTGTCGTGACCGTTTTGAATTTGGGAAAAACCCTTTTCTCTTCCTCGCGCCTCTTCTCTCTTCACTTTACTCATTTTTCGCTCTTTCAACTTCTTGTGCACGCTGCTTCTCTCGTTTCCGTTTGCCTTCTTTGTTTCCGTCGTCGTTCCCGGCAACTGGGTTCCGCTCCTTCTCTATTGCTCTTTCTTTTATCAAAGGGGTACCAGGTACTTCTATTTCTCCGTTCTCTCTTCCTTCAACAATCTTCTCCTTCTTCGAGTCTTTTTGCTTTCTTGATAGCTGGAGAGGGTGGTACTAGGTCCTCTGCGCCTGCCAAGGGCAAGGGCAAGGCGCGGGGCAAGGCAGTGGCTTCCGGAACGGTCGCCGCCGAGAAAAAGAAGGTGGAGAACCCACCTAAGGACCTCATTCCAAGCATTCTTGGGTACGATTGGGTTCGGCGCGAGATGGGGGAGGCCCAAAGCGTGTTCCGGTCTTTTCTTGAGGTTAATGCAATTCGGAAATCGCATAGAATTTGTGATTCTTCCATCTCC